CAACGCAACCAACACAACACAACACAATGCAACTAACACAACACAAAACAACATAACGCAACACAACACAACGCAACACAACGCAACGCAACGTAACACAACGCAACACAACACAACCAACACAACGCAACCAGCCTGAGTTTGGGTTTCATTTGGGGGTTTGTTGTGTAACGAGGGGGAGGAGCAACAGACCCCCAACTGAAACCCAAACTCAGGTGTTAATGGCTCCTTCAGGATATCAGTATGTGGAACTCCCAAATAGTCAGTCAGAGCTGATGAAGCCTCTTGGATGAGAGGTGGAACGTCTTCAAGGAACTCAAGCAGGTCCAGTTGCTACGATTAATCTACCAGAATAACCCTGAGCTGGAGGACTGAGAATCCTCACAGACAACACAACACAACGCTACACAACCCAAACATATGGCATGAGTTCGCTGAGACAGAAAACACGAAGCGTAGCTCATGATGACAACACACTGTGAAATGAAGACAGTGTGACCTGATGCCAGGTCATGTGACAGGAAACATGAGTACAGCTACGCCTGAGCTGTTGTGATGTCAGATACAGTGGTGTGATGTGAGAATGACGTGACACGTTACATGACAATGCAAACGATCCCAACCCGGTTCTGTTGACCCACACGTGTATTGTCTGCATCAGACTCAGAAAAGGAGCCGGACTACAGAGATGTGACCATCAGAACAGACGTGAAGGTGAAGGAGCTGTACGACGTGGAGGAGAGACTGGGAACGTAAGCTCCGCCCACTCTCCCACAATGCACCTGTGCTGCTCCGTGTCCTGAATGCATCCTAAAGCCTGTGTTGTGTCGCAGGGGGAAGTTTGGTCAGGTCTTCAAGCTCGTGGAGAAGGCAACGAAGAAGGTTTGGGCGGGAAAGTTCATCAAGGCGTACTCAGCGAAGGAGAAAGAGAACGTCCGGCAGGAGATCGGCATCATGAACAGCCTCCATCACCCCAAACTGGTCCAGTGTATCGACGCCTTCGAGGGCAAGTCGGACATCGTCATGGTCCTGGAGATGTAGGTTCACCATGGGAGCCAGGGGCTGTAGAGTATCACAGCGGAGTCCAGGAGCTGCACACAGTCAGTAGTACATGAGTCAGACGTGGTGGATAAAGAGCTGTGTGGCTGTGTTGGAAAATAATGTTGTGGCCAACTATGAGAGGAATGTGAGAGCAGCTATTTCCTCTCTGCTAAGTTTAGATCTGAAGGCAGCAAACACATAGAAACACAGTTTTTACCTCCAGACTGTAAATATTCAGCTTTTTTTGTTTTTTCAGCTCAACTCTTCACTGTCGTTCCTCCATATTCAGCGATGGACTGCTCATTTTGAATCATAGGATTGTATAAAAACCTTCTACGTTAACAGAATCAATCCTGTTTATTTTACATATAGACCACAGGGACGGAGGAAACGGTGCGTACGTGCTGAGGACAGCAGGACCGGTTCATGGCTGCAGCTTTATTGTCAACACAACAGGCAGAGAAATCATTGAAACGGCGCAGCAGTTTGTGGGTTCAAACGCAGCTCAGTCATTGAAGTTAAAAGCAGCCAGAGGCAGGTTCAGTTCTCGACAAAGCAGAGTCGGATGTCTGATCAGTTTAATCAGGGTTTATCGTCAGATAACAATGAACGGACCGGCGCATGTTGCTGTGATTGGCTCAGTGCCTCCCCACAGGCCCCCGGCGGCTGAACGCTGCAGCCTGAGTTCTGAGCAGAACCTTTGTGGCTGTAGCTTGGTCTCAGCCTGAACATCACACTGAGGTTGGTGGTGATTGGACAATGATCAGTGGGAGTCCTACTGAGCCCGCCCCATAGTTTGTCTGACGGTACCCATTCATAGTAGAATTGTGTAGTTTTTTGCCACAGTGCTGTTGGACGGGTCTGTTGAGGAAACTGCAAAACCCCTAAAAGTAGACTTTCTGGGACAGTGTTTCACATTATGTGTTCACTGTTTGTGCTTCTGAGGTCTGTCAATTACCAGCCAGTCAGCCTTCACATATGAGGGCCACATTTCAAGAACTGAATTTTTGGACCTTCATTACAGCGCCACCATGTGGCCGACTGGGCTCATGTTTCTTAGGAAGGGTTTGCACATCATTTGTAGTTATTGGGCCCAATTTAATGTTTCTGGATCACTGCAGCTCACAGCAGTTCGAAACATNGATACGGTACCATGAGGTCTGTAAGGTCACATGGAGCTGCTCATGGAGAGTTTATATGTTAGAAGCAGGATTTAAATTCTATCCTGGATTTTACAGGGAGCCACTGAAGAGAAGCTGATACGATAGAGATGTGATCTGGTACTGGTTCCTGTTTCTCTGCAACATAAAGTCCTGCAGTTCTGTGGAACCAGAACCTGAAGTAGTATGCAACGTGCGCATTTATTATTTACAAATGTTTGAATCAAAATATGCATTTGAACTTTTTGATTCTAAATGTACAAACCTGGAACTACTGTTTCCTCCACGTGCTGCAGATGTTGGGCTGTCTCCATTCTCCAGATGTTTCACCAGGCTCAGTGTTCATTCTGGATTGTCTGTCCAGTGAGCTTTACCTTCAGTCACTCTGCAGTCGATCTGTAGCATTCTGTGAGAAAGCCCGTTGTGCTTCAGAGACACGATGAACACCTGCAGAGTCAGGTGCTTTTGCTCCTGTTCAGTCAGTCTAAGCCCCGCCCACCCTTAGTCCACCTGCAGCTGGACCAGAGCCATGTGAACTCCTCACGACTGACCTGCATGAATGAGACTAACTGCCAGCTGATTGATGTCGACTAAACCCACTAACTGCTGCTGTTTGGTCTGACAGAGAACCAGGAGGAGGCCGAGGAGGAGGACGACGGTAGGAGACCATCAGTCACCGACGCAACACAACTGACACAACGCAACCAACACAACGCAACCAACGCAACGCAACCAACGCAACACAACCCACACAACGCAACAAACACAACACAATGCAACCAACACAA